AGAGAGAGGTCTTCCATCCACTGGTTCATTCCCCACATGGCCACAATGGCTGGAGCTGTGCCGATCTGAAGCCAGGAGCTTCTTCCAGGTCTCCCACATGGGTGCAGGGGCCCAAGCACTTGGGTCATCTTCCACTGCTTTCACAGGCCACAGCAGGGAGCTGGATCAGAAGTGGAACAGCTGCAACTTGAACCTGTGCCCATATGGGATGCCAGTGCTGCAGGCAGATGCTTAACCTACTACACCTCAGTGCCGGCCCCACCTTGATGAACTTTTTACAGAATACTGATCCATCTGTTGCTCACTTGCTATAATGTTTATTCATTTATTTTCAATGCTTTGAGATAAACATGCAGATTGTAGGTATGACGTCATCTTGAAACTGGGCACAGGTGTGTGCTACAAGGTGTATGACCACAGTGTCCTTGTTTGAAGGGGAGGTGCTGGCATGCTGCCCCTTAGGCATTTGGAGCTGTGTGTCTTCCCTAGGAAAGAAGCTATAGGACCGATGGAGGGGCACCACGCCCTAATGAATAGTGCACTTGTCTTCTTGAGGAATATTTCCTCACTACACCTTGTAGCTTATTTCCCATCCCCAGGTCATTTCCAACTCTGTCTGGCTATGTTGACCATTCGTTTTGTTGCTGTCTCTTATTAGCTTTCATTTTAATCCAGAGGTCACGAGGCGTTTTCTGTGAAAGGCCAGACAGTAAATATTTTATGCTTTGCGGCCCCGTGGTTTCTATGGTAATGACTGTATCCAGCCCTGATGTCGAAGCTCAAAAGCACCATAGACAATACAGTAAGAAATGGGCAAGAACGTGTTCCCAATAAAACTTTATTTACAAAAACGTGCCGCGGGCTCAAACTTCACCTCCCGTGTGGCAGACGGAGGCAGGTCCTCACCTTCGGGGCCTTCCCCTAGACTGGTACAGTTTCAACGTGCGTGGTAAACCTTTTTGATGGTTTGGAACGAGTCTGGCTCCCGAAAGGCCCACTTTGATTGACTAAGGATCCCAGTGGTTTCGGTTTTTGCGCTTCTTGCCCGGTAGCTTCTATCCGGTGTGCTGCAGCCGACTCTGCTCCTGGGTGGTGGGCATGAACGGTGCAGAGAGGACAAAGAACCTGGATGTTAGGCAACCCTCCAGGCCCGCGAGCATTTTGCTGAATGTTTGCTTGTTGTCCAGATCTTCAGATGTCAGCCCTGTGTTATGTACCAAGTGTACACAGACCGGCCTGTGCTCCGAAGATCTTGTGGTCTAGTGGGAGGTGGGATGAGCACTTAGTAAATGTGTATTTACAAATCATGCTGAGTGCTGGGAACAAAACAAAAATAGGAGGTCAGTAGTGGTGGAGGAAGAGGAGGGCAGGGGCCTGCTCCACGCCATCCGTGGAAGGGATCATTAAGGCTGAGATCTAAGGAATGAAAAACAGCAATCACGTAAGGAACTGGGAGGAGAGCGTTTCAGGCAGCAGGAAGAGAGCATGTGCAAAGGCCCTGAGGCAGGGAAGGCTTCCCTTGCTTAAGAAACTAACAGCAGGGCCGTGGGGGCACTGAGGAGTGCTGAGCGAGGAGGAGGCTGCAGAGCTGAGTGCTGGGGGAAGACGTGGGGTTCCCTTTATGTTGGGAAGCCATAGCTGCTGGGACAAAGCACCGTGGTTTGGAGACAGCACATCCCCGACTGAGGCGCCAGCAGGGTTGGTTTCTGCTGAGTCCTCTGTCTGGTTCGTGGGCAGCTCCGCCCTCGTCTGTGCTCGCCCACGGCTTTCCCTCTGCATGCACAGAAAGGAAGAGTGAGCCCTTTGCCACTTCCTGTTCTGGAAGGACACCAGGCCGAGGGGTTACGGCCCCTTCCTGATGACCCCATTTAACCTCCATTACCTCCCCAAAGGCCCTGTCTCCAAACACCATCAGGGTGGCAGGCCAGGGCTGCAATGGACAAATGGTGGTGGTGGTGGGGGCGCTGGATAGCCATTCCCTCCCCAGGTCACAGAGAGGGCCCAGGCAGGAGGAGGACCTGACTCCGGTGGTCCTGAGGAAGTGGGTGGCAGGGAGTGGAGGGAGGTCCCTGGAAGGAAGGAACCCACCAGGAGGGGAGGGGCTGGGGGCAGGCAAGACTGGCCTTGCTGTGGCCCCAGGCTGTCTTTTCCTTTGTTTGTTTTAGAGAAAAAAATAAAATCTCTCATCTATTTGTTCATTCGCTAAAGGCCCACGCCACCTGGAGCAGGGCTCAGGCCACAGCGGGGAGCCAGGAACTCAGACAGGTCTCCCGCGTCGGGGCCTGGGACCTGTTTTCTTGAGTCTTCATTGGGACTGCCTTAGCTAAGATCAGGACCCAGAACCCGGCATTGAACTTGGGTACTCCACCATGGCCTCTCAGGGTCTTAACAGGTGGGCTAAACAGCTGCTGCTCCGGGCTGTCCTTGAGAGCTTGCTAATCTGCAGCCCTCCGGAACCTGCAGGTCTCTAAGTGATGGTGCTCTCAGGGCCTGGTGGAGGACGTTGCACCTCCCAGGTGCTTCATGGATGCTGGGTAAATGCACACCTGTCTGCCAGGCATGGGCTGGAGCTCCGCGGGGTCCTGCTGCCCGGGTGGTTACCGTATCTGCCTGCCACTAGGGCCCACGGTTTACACCTGCAAAGCTTCCGGTTCTCAGGGCTACAAATACGTGATTGCTTCCCTTTTGTCTTCGAGTAGTCTAGAATGACAGAGAACTTACTCCTGTGCGTATCTGGATCTCCCTCTCTCTGTCTCTCTCTGTCTCTGTCTCTCTCTCACACACACAAACACACACACACACACACACACACAGCCACCCTAGAAAATCTGGGGCCATTGTCGCTGCTTCCCAACCCAGCTGGGGCAGGCCTGCTGGGTGGTGGGGCCACAGAGCCTTGAAGACCTTGGGTCACATCCATGTAGGCTGTCAGGTCTGTTCCCTTGTGTGTGTTTACCTCTCCTCTCGACCGTGAAAGACTGGATACAGGCTTAGCCTGGGAAACCAACAATATCCAGCCACTTGGCGTTTTGGAAGCAGTGATGAACACGTTTCTAAGGAATGTACTTACTGCCAATGATCCCAACAGGTAACAGTGGTTAAAAGGGTGAAGTTCATGTTAGGTGTATTTTATTGCCATAAGAGCTGTCTCTGTGTGGTGCTTTCAGATTTTTTTTTGTGTGCCCTGTAGTGGAGAGATTGGATCTTTACTGTGCCACTCACAGCTGACCCTGTAAGATGGGATGATAGTGTCTACTTCAGAAGATTGCCCTGTTCAGTACACAGTAGGTGCACAATACATGATTAAAAAAAAAAAAAACAATTATTTTAGTTCTCAAAGTTTTGTCTTTAAGGGTTTGGGAATTTTTTAAGAGAATATACAGGGGCACTTCAAAAAGTTGGTAAAAAGTGGTATAAATGATGTTTATTTTGTTGCAAAAGGTTTTAAAGTTCATCCATATGAGGGGTGTGAGAAAGTGCGTGAGAAAAGCATATTATGAAGTTGTGCGTTTTACTGTCGTAAGTAAAACTGGTCCCAGATCTTCATATAAGTCCTTGGAAGTTTCCCAAGTGGCCATTTGTGGGAATAAAGATTATTTTAGTTGTGCAAGGAGCTAGATTTGGTTCAAAACATGCCATCAGCTAAGTAGGTCCAGTCAGGGAAATTTATGCTCAGTCAAGATAAATAACACAGAGCAGAACCAGAAGATCCCTCCTTAGAAAGCCACTGCTTTTGCTGGAAAATTTTAATTATTGTTGCGCAAGTGACGTCATGTCCTCAAGTTCTGGGCAGATAACAGAGATGGCCCTCGTCAAAGGGGGCAGGGAGACATCAGGGAGCCTTTATGCAGGACTGAATGGGGCCTGGCGTGCAGCTCACACAAAATCAACGTGCCCAGCTGTTACCGATGGTGCCGAGTGTGTGGCCATGCGATGCTGGCGTGAATTACACCAGGCTGTATACCTCTCCTCTCCTAACCCAAAGGTTTGTGTAAATATTTTCCCAATAGAAACAACGAAGGCTGTTCTCATCCCTTGTGTGGAGTCACTTGGTACACCTGGAGCCACACAAGGAAACTCTAGATAGAGAGAGTTGGCAGTGGCAAGAAGACGGACAGTCCAGGGAGTGTTGCCAGGAAGTCATTAGTAACATTGGAGCATCTGAGAGTTTATTTACGATGTCACAGAATAAAGGCTCAGAATATTAGCCTGACCATAAACCAGATTTCCTTAAAAAAATTTTGTTTGTTTGTTTAGAAGGCAGAGTGGCAGAGACAGAGAAATTTTCCATCTACTGGTTTACTCCTCAAATGGCCACAAGGGCCAGGAGCCGGGAGCTCCATCAGGCTTCCCATGTAGGACAGGGGTCTGAGTCGCTGGGGCATCTCCCACTGCCTTGCCAGGCACATTGGCAGGGATCTGGATCAGAAGCAAGGCAGCTGGTGCTTGAACTGGAGCTCCAATCTGGGATGCTGGCATTGCAAGCGGTGGCTAAACTTGCCGCTCCCCAAACTGGCCCCGGAAACCGGATATCTTAAAACACTGCGTTCCAACTTCAGGCCACTTCCAGCTGCAGGCCACAGTTAAGAAAGTCGGTTCTAGTACAACGTACAAGGCAAATAAATGTGTATGGTCAATCTGTTTCGCCAAACAGGACTTAATCTCATGGCGTGTGCCATAATTGGTGGATATTTTATAGTCTCGTTTCATTCCATTTTAATAAGTATCGTTTGTGACTGTCTAAAAGATTCCCCTTGAAATGAAACTCACACTTTGAAATATTACTGTAGTTTGTATACCCTTCCTTTAAAAAAAAAAAAAAAACAGGCCTGGAGCTACATATTTTTTTCCTTACCCAAGCATTAAGTCAGCCGTGAATGTTTTATTCTAGTTTGCATGCTGCATTCAACTTCGGGGTCGTTATTCAGAAACACGGACACGTCGGTCCGATGACGCCGGCCCGCGGCAGGAGCTGTAATGCCCCCTTTCTCGTCCGCCAGGTGCGTGCGCTCCACCGGCAGGATGAGCACAGAAAGGGATTCGGAGACGACATTCGAGGAGGACTCGCAGCCCAACGATGAAGTGGTTCCCTACAGCGACGACGAAACAGAGGATGAGCTGGAGGACCAGGGCCCTGCCCTCGAACCAGAACAGAACCGAGCCAGCAGAGACGCCGAGGAAACCCGGGAGACGCTCAAAAAAGGTAAGGTGTGGGGGCCTGGGGCGGGGGCCGTCTGGTGGGGGCAGGTGCTGGGGGCGTAGTCTAGGAGGGCGGTGGCCTTCTGAGCTTGGAGCTGAGAGAGCAGAGGAAGGGTGGCTGAGATCTGTGGTCATGGTTCGTGTGCATGGAAGAACTGGCTTTTGACTGCACCCGGAAGTTGACAAACCTGTCAATCCATCTTTGCATGTAAATTACTTATGTTATTAGATTGTTGATATGAGTGATAGAAGTGAACACCAGCTTATCTATATATGTGTATGTATTTTACCTACTTCGGAGCCGTGCAGGCTGACTTACTAGTACCCTGACGACACCCGGGGCTCGGTGAGCTCAGTCTGGGTGACTTCTCAGTGGCCCTTTGACGAGTGGTGCTGGACCCGGCCCTGCCAGGACCACACAGTTTGGGGGGACCAGGACACAGCTCCGGGACCCTGAGCCTCTTCACCTTGTTTCCCCTAGCACTCACCTCACTTTGGAGGAGCCCTGGGGCCGTGCTGACTTTGCTCGGTCACTTGTGAGTGCAGAATGGTGTTGGCTGTCCAGCATGTATGGCTTACGTCTCTGCTCACCATGGGGGGGGGCACTGTTCTGTGTCCACCTGTCCCCACCACCACCACTGCACCCCACCCCCAGTTTTCGAGGGAAGGGTCTGGACCAGGGATCTGCAAACCTTTTCCCTGGAGGGCTGGCAGTAAATATATGTGGCTGGGGGCTATTGGGCCTCTGTTGCAAGGACTCCACCCTGCCCTGCACAGTCCTCACTCAGCTGACTTTAACCAGTGTGCTTCCCCCCACCGTGGAGTTTTTCTTCTCATGTCCTGCGGGGTTGCCCATCCTGGTGGCCTGGGAGACAACTGTGGCCCTCTCTTGTAGCTCTTCTGCCCCAGGCAGAAGCTGAGCCTTTTCCGTTCGCACTAGATTTCAGGTTGGAAAGATTTCCTGCGTGGTCCCCAGGACCAGTGGAGTGACTGGTGTTTCCCGTTCTCCGCCATCACCGCCAAGCGTTCTGTCTCCTGCTTGTTCCTGTGCCTCCTGGCCGCCTCCATCAGGAGAACCCCAGGTGTTAGCAGGTTTGCCCAGAGTCTCTGCCAGGGACGTTCTAGAAGCCTCTGCTACCCCACGTGCCTCTTCCTGCCCCTTGTTTTTCCTTCTGGGGTTCCGCCTCCTGGTTAAGCTGTTCTGTTGTTTCGTACCTGTGGAAGAGGCAAGAAGCCACAAAGCCCCTTTTTATAGTGAGTCCTCCTGTTGTGGTCAGACTGTGTTCCTCTGACGTTCCTGTGTGGGAGGACCTCGGTCACAGGAGCCCTGGACCTGTGGGCTCCAGGCCTCTGCAGGCTCTAGAACCCAGGGAGGCCATGGACTCTGTGTCCTGGGCCCTCTGGCTTCCCACAGCCAAGGGAGGGGGGTCGCATCAGATCTGAGTATGGGTTGCTGGGTGTGCTTAAGCGACCGAGTATCCTGCCCCAAAGGAGAAAGTATTAAATCAGCATCACTGAGCAAAATTAAAATGGAATCGCAGAGTAGGCATTTAGCCTCGTGGTTAAGACACCTGCATGCCATGTTGGTTGGGTTCAATTCCTGGCTGTGGCTTCTGACCCCAGCCAAGATGGACCCTGGGAGGCGGCAGTGATGGCTCAAGCATTGGTGTCCCTGCTACCTACATGGGAGACCTGGATTGTGTTTTTGGCTCCTAGCTTTGGCCCCAGCCATTGTGGGCATTTGAGAAGTGAACTAGCATATGGAAGCAAGCGCGAACACACGCGCATGCGCGCGCACACACACACACACACTCTTTCTGTCTCTCATATAATAATTTTAAAATGTATTTAAATGACAACTAAAACAGAATCACTGCTGACTGGAACAGGAAGGTGGCCTGTGTCTCAACAAGGTCCAGGTTGGACCTTGGTGGGGTGGGGACAGAGCTAGAGGCACCTGTTGAATCGGTGAGGGAGTTCCAGTCGACTGCCCAGAAAGCGAACCAAGCAGACTTCTTCCTCATTCCTCCCTCGTGGCATGGCTGGGCTCCTAGCGCAATCTCGGAATCTCTGCTTGTGTGTTGATATCTGATGAGTTGGCAGGAGGACTGGCTGTGCGGGGTGCAGGGTGAACTTTGCTGCTGCTGCCTGGGGTCGCATGATCGGGTGCGGTGCAGGCTGCCCAGGTATCTGCGGAAATGCCAGCGAAGCGCGACGTGGCGGTGGAAACTCTCACCTCTGCCGCTCACCCCTGTGTTTTTCCAGGCTCCGCCGGCGCCTTCTGGCATCCAGAGCCTTTTCCTGGTCCTTCGATTTGCAAGCCACCTTGTCTGTGGATTTCTTCCCTCCCATTTGGGCATTGAGAAAGTTCTGTCGTGATCTTGATCTGGGCTCTTCCTGGTCTTTTTTTTTTTTTTTTTTCCCAAGGGTGTTTTATATCCCTAGGGAATTTGGATGGTTATGGTTTCTCTGAACTCATGTCCAATGACCTTGCCTGTGACTTTGTGCAGAAATTGTTATTCTAGCTCTGCTCTCTGCCCTTGCCAAGCACATACAAGGACACCCGGGAACTGCGGGAGCTCTCATCCATTTCACTCCCCTGTGTCCCCTACAACCAATCCACTCCTCCCCCGCCCTTCTCCTTCCCTCTTGCCTCCCTCTTCTCTGTCCCTCTTTCCTTCTCTGATTTGTTTTCCCTGTTCCAACTTGGTCATTTCCCCAAGGAAGGTCAGTATCACCCTCACTTTTCTTTAACGCCATCATCCGCCTCTCTTGACGTTGGACCTCACGGAAAATTTCCTGCAAAGAATTCCGAGGACAGCGGTGTGAGTCACTGTGAAGTGCCGGCGGGAGCAGCTCCCAAAAGCGCGTGCACCACAGTGGGCGCTCGAGCCGCATCCGCCTAGCTTGCAGACGCTGGTTTCCTTCCGTAAAGAAAGGCAGCTGCCCTGGCCCGGCTGCGCTTTCTTGTCGAACAAGTGTTTGCAGAGCCCCATTGAAGGTGCTTCTCAGCTGAAGGATCTTTGTCACGGGCTGTGAGAAGGAAGAACAAGCGCAAACATGCTGTTAGAATGTGGCATGGAGGCAGAGATAAGCACGCACGCACGCAGCCTTCGCCGGAGTTAACCTTCCCCTTTGCTGACCTTGATCGAGGATTGGCGGACACCTGCAGGAACCTACTCCACGTGCTCCTGCCTGAAGAACGCGTGAGAGCTGCATTTCCCAGAGTGCATTCTGGGAAGTACAGGCTTTGCCCGGTGCTTCAGGATGCAAAGGTCCTGTGGCCGCTGAGACCAGAAACTAGGAATTCATTATTCCCCCTCTGGAGCTTATGACCTTGTGCCTTAGCGTGAAAGGTGTCAGGAGGCTTTGGCTTTGAAGAAATGGCTGCAGTTTGTTTGGCCAGAGCTTGCTGAAGTCCCTGCCCTCTGGAAGGCCTCTTCGTAGCTTGCCGTGATCCTGGTGCCCCCAGTTCAGTCGCTTGGATAACTCTGTGACGCTCAGGGGAGCTGAGAGAGCAGGTCCGGGGGTAGGTTCTGGATTGGTGCACACCGCTCGCTCTCACGAGCCTGGGGGTGAGGGAGAGGTTTCCTGCTTCCTCTCAATGTTGCCTTCACTATGAACGTTCATATCTTCCAGCCCCAGCTCAAAGGTCAACTCCCAGCTTCCCTGTCCTGTGCCACGTCTCGCCTCTTCTATCTGTTGTCACAGCCAAGCTCCTGGAAACCCTTTCTTGGCCGTCACACCTCCCGTTCCTCTGGGCTCCTCCCTGTTGAGGGCTGCTGGCCCACACTGGCCCTACAGATGATGCTTCCTTAAAGGTCATCAAGAACCCAGGGCCTAGGGCCAGGACTGTGGCATAGCAAGTTAAGCTGCCAACATCCCATAGAAGCACCTGTTCAAGTCCCAGCTGCTCCGCTTCCAATCCAGTTCCCTATTAATGTGCCTGGGAAAGCAGCAGCAGATGGCCCAAGTGCTTAGGCTCCTGCACCCACACGGGAGACCCAGGTGAAGCTCCTGGCTTCAGCCTGGTCCCTCCAGCCTTTCTGGCCACCTGGGGAGTGAATTAGCAAGTGGAAGATCTCTCTCTCTCTGTCTGTCCCTCTCTCTTTGTTACTCGGCCTTTTATATAAATAAATCTTAAAAAAAAAAAAAAAGCCTACTGCCAATCATGATAACGATAGATATTGTTTGAAATAAAAGAAGAATCCAAGTGCCAGTGCAGGGGACATTTTATCACCCACGGTCTCCCTTCCTATTTGCTGGGAGGTGTCTGATTTTAAACAGTCCTTCCATTGGCAGTCTCTGTGTGGCTCCTGTTTCTCCTTGCCCTGGGTCTTCTTCCTCCTCCCCCACTCCGCATCCTGCCGTTCCATTTCCTGCCCTGACCTGTGTCCAGAGACTCTCCTGTGACCAGCCCATCCCCTCCAGCCTGGGTCACTGAGCCAGCTTGCGTGGCAGTGAAGCAGACAGACCCCAGATTCACGCTCTGTGGGTTTATGTTCTCATGTCACCGTCTTCCAGCTCTGTGACCTTGAGGAAAAGCCTCCCTCCCTCTGGGCCTCAATGCCCTCTTCTGCATAGTACTGGTACCTACTTCATAGGCAGCTGTAAGGTGGAATCAGAAAACAAAAGTGAAGATTTGACTAGTCTGGGGCATGCAGTTTGCACTCAACAGATCGCAGCCGTTACTGTCTCCCCCGTGCTAGTCCTCCCTTACGTCTTTCACATCAAACCAAGGCTCGTCCCCATCTTCTGTCAATAGGTCGTCTTGGCTTTGGGTATTGGAATTCTCCTAGTGCCCCAGGCAGAAGCTGTGGAATCATTCTTTTCAACAGATGCTTCCACCCCCAAGTTCAAGTGCAATGAATGGATGGATGGTTTGCCTACAAATTGAGGGACTTCTGGTCATTTGGTATCAACCCTGCTTGTGTTGTCTGTAAGGCTTTCCTTTAACACCTTTCCACATCTCTCTCTCTCTCTCTCTCTCTCTCTCTCTCTCTC